TGAACCCCTCGCTGTCTCCTCACTATAAAAAGGTGTGATTTTCAGTGGCAATGAAAATGACCATCACCGAGAGAGATTTAAAATCCATACAGGGATCCACTTTCCTATACCTTGAACTTCCATTTCTTTTTGCAATGTTGAAAGGCACACCGAACACCCAGCCTGTTGTTTTATTCAGAAGGGTTCTTCTTCCAAAGATAGAATTGGTTTCTGTTTCATAACCCTCCACGTTGGTATCTTATTGCCATGAATTATTTGGGATTAGTAATGAAGTATGTATCACAGTGTTCAGAGTCCTTCACCAGGGGTGTCTGCTCTGCACTGTTATTTGATTCTCAACAGTACTGTTCTCACTTTATTAAAAAATATTCATTGTGGCTTCTAATGTATACCAAGTCCCAAATGATCTACTGAATATTTCCTCCATTTTCTGGTAGCTCCATTTATATTTGCTGAATAATTTTGGGCAAGCATAAGACTCACAGTCCTACTGAATTTAACATGTAACGCTCTGATGTCCTTTTAGAAACTTCAGGTATTGGGTAATACATGGAATATTTTGTTTCTCTCTTTCATTGCCATATCCTGCAATCTCACTAAGCTCTCACCTCATCTTCCTCCACAATAAATTTGCTCATTGACATAAATGACTGTTTTGCTTCAGTACAGCTTCAGTGTTTGGCCCTTAGGTTCTGTGACAGCAGACATGATGCCCAGTGCAGACGCAATGCTCAGGTGCTTCCTCAGCTTATTTCAGGGATCAGTACAGAAAGTTTGACCGCGTGACTCATGACTAAAGCTGTGTTTAAGGAAGGAAGGACAGAGGAAGGTCTGTCCAGCACAATCAAGAAGAAAATCTGCAGAATCATCATCATAACCATTCTGCAAACTTATATTTCTCACTAATCCCATCTGGCCCGATCCAAAGGCCATTGGATTTTGGATTTGGACCAATGTGCAGATGCCTTTGTTTGTCCAAATCCCATGTAGAACAAAATGTTGGCTCTCTATTGGCAGACGATTTAGCAATAGGAAGAAGTTCAGTCCAAACCCCTTCTCCACGTATGGCTATTCCAAGAGCTCCTAATTCACAAAGGCTCAACCTTGACCCTACATCCTTCCACTTCCACTGCAGGATCACCTGGCTTTCCATCAGCATGACTCTGAAAGTAGCTCACACGAGTAAGTCACTGAGTAGCTGAAGCAAGATGTTAAAAAAGAGGATCTTCTCTCTGCTTTGATAGCCAGCTATTACCTAATCGGCATGGCAGTACTGGGAAGGTTGTAGGTGGTTCTGTAACCCATCAGGCTGAAATGTGAAGAGTAGATAATTTTTATTTCATTATGCTCTTGTTCTGCACAGTCTTCAATATTGTCAGAGTGCTGTATGAACTTTAACCAATTAATGAAACACGAACTGCTTATTAGGTGACCCCAAAGGTCTCTCCCCTACTATCTGTGAATAACAAATCAAAATCAACGCGCTGCTGGTAAATGCATATGCATGAAATCTTTTAAGACATCATGGCTAAAATAGCTAATAATAAACCTCACAGCGTTCCTGAGAAAGCAAAACAGGGAGGGAAAAGAAGCCAGCAAAAATAAACCAGTCTTCTGCAGAACATTGCCTAGGCAAGTTAGCATCAGCTAAATGATCAATAGGTCACCGCTATGTATGATATTTACATCTGATCTGCATTACATGTCCAACAAGGCTCATACCAGCTAGCGCTTCCTTCATTAAAATCTGCCTTCATATAAAATTCACCTTGATTCATGAGTTTGCATTCACTGGTGTACACTGGAATATAACACTGCCAAACTTTCTACTGTGTTCACCTGCTGGTTGGAGAACTGAGATATTTCAAGATGAAAACAAACTAAAGACAGTTGCAGAAGGCTTATTATTACCAAAGAATGGAAAATAATAGACTTGTGCATATGCTCAGCCTTCTGCTACCATCATGTCCTGTGTATTATCATTTTGTGTTACTGAAAAGTAGTCTACACACCATATATTTCCTTAATCATGGATTTATTAACTTTTTCACACACACAAATCTATAAGGATTCTTGTACTTTCATTACCTACAAAATGCTGGGGAAAGTTTTCTTGATATCTGCTGAATAGAAACTTACTTGGGTTTAGAATACAGAATTTCAGGTTTTTTCACTTTCATACATGCAGATTTTAAATTCAGATGGGCTCACATTCAAGAAGGTGATTTGGTGAATTTTAGCTTCTCTGTCATCTGAATGTTAATTGCATAGCATCACAATAAAACCACACATGATCCTTGAAGGCATGAAAAACTCCCTCCTGACCCTTAGAAAAATCTGCCAGTTATTCCTAAATATAAAGCTGGCTAATAACAAGTTCTGTAAGTAATTACACAGCACAGAACACATAGAGCCTTCCTCTTACTGCACTAATGCTATATTCTTCGAGGGAACACTGAGGCGTGGAAAATTTGTAGTATTAAATAAGACGTTTTCAGGCAAGAGTTTAAGAAAGGAGGGACAATAGAGAAGATGAACATAAGGAAATACTCAACAGGAATAGAGAAAAGGCGCTTCATTTGACAAACAGATTTCATGCTTTCTGTAAATCTCTTTGCCTCATGCACCACACTGAAAGAGTATGACTTTGACTTCTTCTTAACAAGTAGCCCCTTGCTCCTAAACATTTTGTTTTAGTCTGTCCGAAGACTGCAGATTTATTCACTTGAACTCCTTCACTTCCGACATTCTATAAATAAGCTCCATCTGGTCTATCTCTCCTTGTGTCCAAGTCCCTTCTCTCCCTCAGCCTAACTCATACAGTCCCAATTAGCTAGTGTCTTCCTCTAAATAAACTAGACTTTTCAAAACTTGACCTAATGCCTAGGCTCTTTATGTCCCTTGAAAGAAGACTCTTAACAGCTGCTCACTGTTACTACACACTAGATCAAGTATTCAGAGACGGATCTATCAAAGAGGTCAGCTCCCTCCTGATAGTACATTAACTAATGTGTTGCATTGTTAAACTTCACTTAGCTTTGTTATTACTTCTACTCCATTGCACTACTCGGCATAGACGTATTCCATTTCATATTCCATTTACCCACTTGATCAAGATCATTCAGCAAATAACTTCATCCTTCTAAATTGGAACCATTCTTCCTATTTTAGCATCATTTGATAACATAAAATAAGACAATATAAATCACAACAAAAATGTTAATGCAAAGCCAACCTTGCAACTCCCTGCTTTTGACCACAGAACCAAATTTGTTTCTTTTCTTCATTGTGTGCTATGTAAGAAACAAGGGGCTACTCTTGCTTATCTCTTTTATTCTGAAAGCTTTTCTCATCTGGGTCTTCCTATTGACTTTGCCACAAACTGCTCACGTAACTGAAAGGTTTACTCTCATAGTTCGAAGCTTCCAGGATCAGGTCCTAGTTCTTTACCTGTCTTAATAATTTATTACCTACTCCATATATGCAGAGCATGTAGAATAATATATCCTGTGAAATTTTGTTAAAAGCCTTTGAAAATCCCAATATGTCTGCTGCTTTCCTCCTATCTAGATCAATATTTATTTAATTTTAAAAAGGAATCCAATTTGCTTGACATGATTTACTTTCCACAAATCCATGCTGACTTGCATTATGATGCTGCACCCTTATTAAACCGTATGCAACTGTAGCCTTATGCTGCTAGGAAATGTATTTTTGAGACCGCATTTATAGGCAGTAGGATCCTCTGAGGGGCTGCAATGCCCAACACAAGAATTTCAGAACATGCTTATTGCTAGAACGGGGCTGTTGTTTTCCAGCTCAAACTGTTTTCCATTAAAACACCAAAACAACACTGACTCTTTTCAAATTATTAGATGAAAGCTCTTAGTTCTGATGTGTATGCACACTGCAAATCATGGCCACGTATCAGAAATCATCCTGTGCCCAACGTTACAAAATCCCGATGGAGAAATAGTCCGCGACATCCAGGGAGTTTAGACTATGGCACTGTTGATCTTATTACTGGGTCTCAGTCAGAATCCAGGCCAGATCAGCAGAAACAGACAATCAAAATGTCAGCAGCACATAGCTATATCAAGAAACAAGCAGTTGCAGCGTTTCCTTCTGTTCTGTGTTCATATCCCAAATAATGCTCCACATTGTTACAAGACCTTAGGCGGGCTGTTGATCCCGTGGTGACATGAAGTCCCTTCATCCATCTCACTGCTCACTTCTCTGATCCCACACTCCACCTGGAGACCAATGCTCAAATCCAACAATGTGTCTCAAAATGTGCTCAATGTGCTCAAATCCAACAACGTGTCTCAGCCTATTCTCTCTTGCACCCTTAGTCCCATCTGCTCAGATACCAGGCGGTGATCCCCTCAGCAAGCAGACACACCAGCAGAGTACGCCACTTCAACACCCATCTTCTCCTAAGGCTTCGGCTCTTAATTCTGCTGCCGTCATTGAGTTCTGTGTGGCTGCCTGTGATAAGTTCTGTCCAGTACTGACAGAGTGGGCAGAACCCTCTTTGTTTTCTCATTCTCTCCAATTTGGCAGTTCCCAAAGCATTTCCAGAATCTCATCCTACCAATAAGCATTTTCCCAGCTATTTGTCTAATGAAGTTTCCATTTTTATTCTTCCTCCCCTCCGTTTCCTCTTACCATGCACTAACAATGCACTGAACTGAGCTCTCACTGATTTCTTAGAGGACAATTTGTATACATACAATAGTCAGAATGGGCTGGAGTATCACGGTATGTACTTGCCAGACTGGCATTCATCAGGACTGTGAAACAGAACAAAATCCCATCGCTGTAATGGGACTTCTTAACCCCTTTGTGACAGTACAGCTAAATGCCCCTTCAACCCCACATGTAAATGCCAACAGCTGGGCACAGAAACACATATCTGCCCAGTTCCAACCATGACATAAATATAGACTTTGTTCAGGTCGTATCAAGCTGTTTGTAGCAGTTCTTATCAAGTACCCTACCTTGAACTCCATAGGGGTGTACTTCTCGTTCTTGGGGGTTGTGTTGCCCTTGTAATGGAGATGGTTGGGAGTAGTTGGGTGGATAACGGTCGACTCCTGAGACTGCCTCTGACAGCGCTGGCAGTACACGTAAATCACAAACGTTAAGAGGCTAGAGCCAAAGAAACATGAGACCCCGGTGGCAATTAGATGGATGAGACTAAAACCTGCAAGGGAAATGACAAGAGATGCTATTTTTAAGGAACAGCCTTTTCCCCCCTCCTGACACGACCACAGGTACAAATCAGAGCTATGACATCTCGGGATCAACATTAATAAGCTGTTGAAGCCAGAGTCTTACGTTCTAACATAAAGTGACATAATCTCCCTGCAAATCGGTCTCCCCACTGCAGCTCTGCCTTGTGCAGTTTAACAGGTTCATGCATTGTTTTCTCAAAGCTCCCTCCCTGTCTCTTCTCTCTCCCCTCTATTGATATTGAAACTAAACATTATGTTAAGCTGACAGCTAAAGAAATGAGCCGTACAAACAATGCACGTAAATGGATTCCAAAGCATGTGTGTGTCATGGAAATAAGGGGATAAAAATGCTCAGTGTTTCTCTGAAGGGAGGGAAGGGAGAGGAAAGCCCTTTTTGCTGGTTGCTCAAAATGCCCATGGGACTCTAAGTGGGGTGGGGGAGATACACATTCCTCCCCTACGTAATCCAAGTGTGCCCAGCATTCTTGCTTATTCACAGGGTGGCACTGCCTTGGTCATGTCTGCACTACCTCTGAGGTCTATTTGTACTGCTAACAGTGAAAAAGAGGTCCTCAGGGGGATGGGAAAAATAAGGTGGACAAATGAAAGGGGAGAACTGCTTCAGAAACATTTCTTTGTTGGCTTTCTCCACAAACTGCAAAGACAGGAAGGCAGTTGCAGGCAGGTGACAATGGAGTGGCTCCAGTGCAAATGTTTCAAACAGCAAAGGTCTCTGACTATAAAAGCTTCCTACAGAGCTGTCTCATGTAGGACTGCAGCAGCACCCTCCAGGCACAGCGCTGACCTCTGGAAGGAGCTGTTGTAGCTGTGCATCCCACAGGCTGGGAGGTACCTAACTCACAACCCTGGCTGGTGCGAGGTGGGGGAGACTAAGTCAAACAGTATTCCTCACGTCTCCCCCACCTCAGAGAGTCATAGTAAAACCAACCACCAACAGATCGCCACTGACAACAGAACAAATAGTAATGACCTTTACAGCCACCAAGTTAATGAAGCACCCAGAGGCAATCTTGGGTGGCAAAGCTTTAGGACCCTGCTGTCTTTCGCAATGTGCACGGGCGAATCTACAGAAAAAGATTCGGCTAGGACGATGACTCCAAACGCCACCCCTGCCTTTCCTCCGTCTTTGCTCTCTCATCTGTCAAACAGGAATGACAGGGGCCCTTCTGCGCAGGGAGGGGGGGTCCTCACTGCTGACCCCCCAGGGCAGGTGTCCCTGGGGTCAGCCACATCGGCTCAGTGGCGACTGCAGCGGTAACATACTTAAAAAGCCAATTCTTCTGGACAGGCTGCTGCGTTGACTTGACTGTGTGCAGAGAAATGGAAGGGACTACTCAGAGAGTGGCTTTAAATGAAGTTCATTCTTAGTCTGATCACGGTGTGTGTTTTTTCGGTACCATCGTACATTTTAACTGATATGCTTTTCAAATAGAGAATTCTGCCCATTAGTCTACGGCTCTCCTCTAAGCTTTAGTTAAAAAATATCCTCCTGAGTTTAAAAAGAACAAAACCGATAGAGTTCTACAGCAAAGTAATGCACTTCAATCATAATTACAGTAAGGAACATACAGAATTTATTAGACTGATGAGCTACATTTATTTTTTAAACCACACTATAAAATTCTATTGCAAGATTACCACTTTCTATTGTGCTTTGGATGATGATCCAAAAAAACCAGCAGAAAGATGATAATTTCCTACTAAATGTTACAACACTTTTCCAAAATGACGTTTTCCTTCTAAAAACCTCTGCCTGCTTTACATCACCCATGAGAGCCAAAACACAGACTAGGCAACTGTGCTCAGTACAGCCACATGACACTGCCACATTCTCCTCCTGCCCAGCTCACTGTTACATTTGCAAGTCACTACAGCAGGAAATCCTTTCTAAAATATAAAGCTCTCTTGCATTTCACTCTCACCTTTGAAAGACCCATCTGATTTTCAGCTGACTTTTAGTTGTATCTTAAGGAAAAAAGCAAATTATTTTGTTTGTAGCACGTGCCTCCTCAGGGCCCAAGCTTTCTGGTTCATCACTTTGAAAATACAGATTTTCTCAGATGCATCAATAGAATTTCTATTGATTGGCTTCTTTGCCAAGTACTGTAGAACATTAAGTAATAATTAATATTAGCTATGGTAAAACGTAGATTGCAGCAGCAAATACAATGGTGTTGCATGAAGGGGATGTGGATACAGTCCTTAACAGTAGGGTGCAAGCTGCAGCAAGGAGTCCTGGAGCTGAAGCAGATCCTTTGCACCCTCTGAGGGAGAAGGTGTGACGCAAAAACCCGACACTGCAGGTGCTGAAATCTTAATTCCACTGACTGGCTCGCAGTCACAAACTGAGCAGCCACATTTGTGTGCCACAGGTGGCGTGCCTTTTTTTGCCATGATCTCCACAGGGGGAAGAGATTTTGGCAGTCTGCAGATGATCTCGATTTCAGGAAAGCAGGGATGTGACGCTAGCAGGAACTGACATCATCGGGGCTCCTAGGGCAGTCAAAAAGTGATACTAGTGACTGATCTTTCCAAGTTACGTGCAGAAAGGAGACATAACTTCTGTGAGAGGTGAGGACTTGAATGAAAGGAGTGCTTGGAGGACAAATATAATCTCTAATCTCATCCTATATCACCAAAGGATCTCTATAGGAGACCCTGTTCACTGAAATCTTTATAGGTCATTTAAAAACACCTGCCTCCAAACAGCTGGAGGCTTACAGTGGTGGAACAAGGAAAATCCCTTCCTTTCTCCTGAACCGTTTACATGTGGGTAGAGAGAGACAAGCAATGTGCTCCCTGGTAATTAATGAACCTCAGTGATCAACCCAAATCCTAAAATAAATAAAAATCTTGGAACTGACAAGTGGACATGCGATACGTTCCTCCAGTCTGACTCAGACAGCAAGACTCCAGTGGAATTAGGGCTATCAGTGGGATATGAGCTGTATAGATTAATGGTTTGGCTGATACTGCACAGGGAGAAAAGAAGTCAGGTTAAGATAAAAATAAGATATATAGTTAGTGGTACCCTACCTCCACAGTTCGTGCTCTCATCAATGCTGGAGGCTGGCAGGATCACTAAACAGAGAGAAGAAGATTGGAGAAAGTTGTCATTTTGCCACCACTTTACTTCTTTAAGTAATTAAACTCCCTGAGCTCCAGACACAAGAAGCTGCCCACGTGTTCTGCAGCAAACTGAGTGTCTCTCTCTAAACTGACTGATAAGCTCAGAGGGGGTGAAACACACGGAACAAAATCTCTCTGAAGACATGACAATTCCAGTACTGTTACCTGATCACTGTTTAGCTTCAATTTAGGGTAAAAAAAAAGATAGCTGAGAAAACCATGAAAAACAATACCATCGTCTAGAGATCTCAGATTTTTAGCGACGGCACTGTAATCCAGAAAAGAACACGTGGAAAGGGGCTATTCAGTCTAGACCCATATCAAATATTTGCCTGAGAGATTCAATTTCCACAAAACACAGGGGGAAGATTTTGATGACCATCTCTCTGTCAACAATGTCATTCTGTTAGACCCTTGATTAATGTCCCCACTTCACACATAATTTTTCTCCATCTGCCTCACCTTATTTCTTTGTTCTTTTGGGACATTTCTTTTGATACCTGAACTCAAGCACCTTCTGTTGCCTACAGCATACTAAGAACAGAGATAATTTTTATAAGTCAGTCTGAGATGAACTATGCAAGATTAAAAGAGTCAATCCAAGTGAAGCAATATTAGTTATTTGTTACAGATTTAAATAATTCCATTTTAAATAAATGCTAAGCTGCCTTAAAGGAAGTCCAGGTACCCTGTGCCTGACACAACGGAGTTTATAACATGTTTGTTTGTTCGCTTGGTTTTCTAGAAGCATCCAAATCCAATTTAGAGTAGAGAAAATCTCAGCCTAGCTTGACAGTCTGGGCACGAGTTGCTCTCCCGACTTGGCCCACCCTCTCCCTCCTTGATGACACTGTACATACCAGGAATTTCATTATACAGGCAATCTTGGTACTGTGTGCTGTTGCCAACGCACTGAGAAGAATCTGGGCTGTGTATCTCACAGTAACGGCTGCGGTATCGGATGCCCTCTTCATTACACAGGCTCCACTCCGACCACTCTGACCAGCCACCTGAAATACAAGATCAGGAAAAGACATCAACAACATCAACGAGAAGGTAAAGGATCCCTTGTAAATACCAAACTTCTCTCATGATGAAGGATATTTAGGGCTTGTCTCACAAACTGAATCCCGGGGCCTTTGGTGGATTTAATTTTCTCACTGTAAGTAACAGTGCAAGCATCATACCCTACTCGTCGGGTTTTAGTTTTCTTAATATGGACTGAACCAATCCTCGGTGGAGCACCACAGAGCAGGCAGTTGTCTTATAAGCTCCTGTGTCAGCTCTCTGGTTAAAGACATATGAGGAGCTGGATGGGGCAATGTGGAACCAGGACTTCCAAGTTTTGAGGTGACCTCCCAGGGATACCTTAAGCAGCCAGCACAAGTTCCAGCAATTAAAGAGTTTTGCTGAGGTTCCTAAGGGCAGGATTCAACCTGCACTCGATCAGAGATACACAAGCGTGGTTCAAAACCAGCACAGATCTAAACCTTGCCCTCTGAGTTGTAGCACATGCTCATCTGCCTGTCCATGTAAGAAAAAGGAAGGATTACCCCTTCAGTGACTGTACAGATTGATGTTTCATGACTCCTTTTATTTGTCCTGTAAGCTTCCACACTGAAGAATCAAGGTCCTGCTTTTTCAATTACTTTAAATGGATCAGCCACTAACAAGATTTTGCCTGTCCAGCACCAGAACGCCAGAGCATGGGCTAGTGAACAGGTAAAGAGAAAGGTGATGCATTGCAGTTGAACACTGGGATTTCTTTTTTCCCTGGCTCAGTAGACATTTAGTGAATGAGCAGAAAAGCTTCTACCTGGAGGTTTTTCTGATTTATCATTTGCACATTTTGCAGATGTGTCTTGCTACCACCACCATCCAAGCCAACTGGAGCAGGGACGAGAACTGGGTACCTTCACATGGATGCGTGTTGCAAAGGGCCTCCTCGGTGTGCAGGCCAATGCAGATATCCTCTCCGCTAGATGGAGCTGGATTGGTGCAAGTCCTTGTGCGCTGGTAGTGTCCTCCTCCACAGGTTGCTGAGCAGTGAGACCAAGGAGTCCAGCAAGACCATGAGCCTTTCACTGAAGGACATTGAAAAGCAAGGAGAGAGAGGCAGAAGCTGTTGGTTACTCCTCTCACTGTGACAAAGCTGGAGAGCCCCAGTATCTCACCTTCCAGATCCACCTTGCCCAGACTAGCTAGCACCTTTCTGCACCCCAGGACATTTGGGCCTGACAAAAAGAACTTCGTATCAAGAGAAGGTACAAATGTGCTGCACTCTCCAGATGCAAAATGGAATCTATGCACAAAAAGACTTTGCATCATAAAGTGCCAAAATAGAAACTATTCTTTAGGGTAGTCACTGAAACATAATACTCTAGTCTAGTCTAGTCTAGTTTAGTCTAGTCTAATCTATTCTATTCTATGCTGCACCATTTTATAAACCAGCATTGTTGTTATTATTATTGTCTCCTGATGCTTTACGTACAGCAACAGCAGATCCACTTAGGGAAAAAAGTGCTGTATAACCTAAGTGGAGCTTATATGGCACCTTTCTGTAGGGACTTTGAGTCCTCTAATTCCAGCCTTCAGGAAACAGAAACTCAGTGGCTTTATTTATTGTTCCTGCTTATTAGAGGGAGGATGGACGAGATGACCCCCAAAGTTCCCTTCCAAACCAAACCATTCTGCGATCTGAGCACAGCCCCGTAACACGTTAATAATACAACAAGGAAGGGACTTAAGATCCCCAATTCCTCCCTCCCTTGTCAGGCTACTAGACTGCCTGATTTGCAGGTCCACATGCCATTAATTCAGAAGATAATAACCTGATGACTTAGTGAAAGATAAGCCCAGGATTTGTGTACACACATTGAGTGAGGAGGGGAAGGAGGGAGACACAGAGAAATAGTAATCATGCACTCAGAACAGATTGTAGAGCATCATAGTGTCCAAGGCGAGAAAACAGCACAGAAGAAGGGCACAGACATTAGTGAAAAGCCACTGAGAGCTTCCAAAATAGTACTAATAGCTGCCTTAATAGTGCTAGAGTTATTTTCTTTTTATAGGCCATAGAGCGCAATATTTGACACTCCTGCTACACTCTTGCTGCACATTCTGATCATATCTGTACTGGAATTTTATCTTTATGTTGAATTTTAGTATCATAATAATACTATTATAATATAGCATTTTCAAGTGTAGGCCACAAACTATATTGCCAGAGGTAGATAACTGCTAGAACTGCAGAGGCAAGGTAATTTGTGTAAGACCTCTTAAATTTAGCGTAAATAGTTATTACAGAGCAAGGAGAAGAATAAGTGAGACAGAATACAGTAGTCAATGCTCTATTATTACTATTCTGGACCAGGAGTGCAACATAAACATGAGGACAAACTCGAAAACCAGGAAACCAGGCAAGAATACTCCCTGCTGGCTGTGCAGGAAATGGTAACTGATGCCAAGAGTAGATGCCCATCGCAAGAACAATACGTAAGCAGGAGAAGGGGAAGAAACAAGTGTTCACAAGAAGAACCACCACATCAAGTATCTGTACACAGTTTTAAGCCACATTTATTAAGCCTGTCTCTTCCTCAAAGTGCAGATACACCAGGATGCCCTCCACTGGATGGAGGATCAAACCTTCTTGAAGCAAAAAATTGCTGGACAAGCCACAATACTACTTCCTCTAGAGGATGTGGCTGTTACTCGCTGAGTTGAGGTGAAATGTAAGTCACAGCACTAAAGCCCACATACTTGGGTTATGACAGTAGCTTTAAAAAAAATCAGGAAAAATCCCCCAAATTAAAAAAAAAAAAGCAGCTTGGAAATACTGATTTTTTTTTTTTTGTGGCTCTACCATTAAGAGGCAGAACACCTCTGAATTTCATGCAGGAAAATGATCATGGTTACCTGGGCAGGGATGTGGATTGCAGTCTTGGTACTCCATCGCTGACCCCACACAGGGCAAACCACCATTTTTAGGTTCAGGGTTTGTGCATGTTCTCTTTCTGATCCTAAAGCCCAACTCACAGTCCCTGGAACAGGAAGACCAGGCCCCCCAGAAGGACCAGCCCCCATTGATAATCCGTGCAGAGGTCTTACCAGTCTTGAGGAGGTCATCAACAAGAGCTTCAGGGAAAACAAACAAGACACCACGTGATCACAAACTAATCAGTTACTGGGGTTTTAAAAAGCGCTTCAGCTCATGAATAAAATCAGGATTTATGTGCCATGGGGAAGAGCTTCTGCTGAAAGTCCTTAGCAAGGTTTTGTTCCATAGCGTTACAGCTAAGCTAGACACAGAAAGAAACCTGTACATGTAAAAATTGAGCCTACTGATAACTGATAAATGACCTTTTGGGGCAGTTGAGGCCACGCCTTCAGGACATTGCCTTGGATCACAGCAGTACTGAAGGGAATAACCCCAGAGGCAGTGCTCAAGGGGACATCCAAAGAGAAAGAAGAGCAAAGCCACACTGTCCTGTAGAATGGCTCTTCTCCACAGCTTTATTACTTGCCAGTTCTCTTTGGGCCAGCCTGGCAGCAGCAACAACAAATCTACAACTGCCAGAAGCACAGAGCTCACAACTGTGTTGTTCTCTAAGTCACAGGGGTCTCTCCATCCCTGTGATTCTGCAGTGGCACTACTCATACATGTCTAGACTTAGGCAGGCACAATCAGCTTCCTGTGGTTCTGAGAGGATCCCCCTTCCACCACCAAACCTAGGCTTGCCCTACAGTTCCCCAGGGAGCTGGCAGGACGTACAGTCAGTATCACACACTGCTGAGCCATCATTGGGGCAGAATCGACTCTCGGTTTTCTTCCTCCCAAACTGCAGCTCATGGGGATCAGACAGCTGGGCACGACATGTGTAGCGGAAGCGCTGCTCCTGGCGAGCACCATTCTGGGTGATGTTGACAGGCATCCAAGGGGTCCAGGGTGTGTTTCTACGCACCTCTGGGCAGCTCTCTGGGTTGCAGGTCTTATACTCCTGCAAGAAGGAAAACCCCTCTTTCCTTATTAAACAGCAGCAGCCAATCTGACAGAGATTTATTTACACTTCAGAAAATAAGGAGACACCCTCTGGATCTAAACCTCCATCCACCTTACCTGATCTCAGACACAAGCCAGTGCAGGGCACAGCACAAAATGACTATGACCTCCATGACTATGGAGGCAATGGTGGTGCATAGCTTCAGGTGGACCTCAAGGGTGAACTATGTTTGCTATTTTTAAGTCTCCCTCATGTTTGTGTTTCCTTGCTGACTCAATGTCATGGGAGGCTTCAAAAGCTTGGTACGTTACAGGCAGGAGAGTAATTCAGACAATAGAAAATAGTAACAGCAAACAATTTTTATGCTGTGACCCTGAGATGCTGCTCTCAGGACAGCCTAGAAGAGCCCCATGAGGACAAAATGTCAGTAAGGTTTATTCCTTGAAAAGTTTATTGGTTTAGTTTTAAGATGGGTTTAGATTATCTCTTTTACAGCTATTTTTGTTTGGTTGGCTTTTTGAACTCTCCACTGAGAGCTATGAACAATTTGCCATTCTTGGGTACAGCATCCACTGAGGGCAGACAACATTTTGGCTGGATGGGGATGCCATGATTTGGGGTCTTTACGATTCTCACCACTAGTGGGAGGAATTCCAGTGACAAGCAACGCATTCTTGTTTAAAAACAAATAAATAAACCAGTCGTTTATGGCAGAAGGAAAGCAACGTAATACTTCAGGACTTCATGAATCTAGAGTAAATGCCAAGCAGCTTGCGAACAGATGGGAGGTTCCAGATCAAATCTGCTTACACTGAAGGAAAACTCTCCACAAAACTGATTAAAACAGATGCTTGAAACAGCCGTCAGAAAAGGAAACAGAAAATGAAGAGAGAAATCGGGTAGCCGTGCCTCACTGATGGGTCAGCTAGGTGTCTGACCTGTTGTCTACTCAAGTATGACAACAGTGAGACTAATTTTTGATGCATGTAGGGCCTTAATTCAATAGGATCATCCTTGGAAATGGGACTGAAGAGAAAAAAAAAAAGAATTATGCTTTCAGGTAAAGGACTTAATATCTAAGCCTACAAAGTCCTAAGGAAGTCCTCTGTACACCAGTCTGTCCCTGCCTGAGGACACACACACACACACACTCTCTCACACCAGCTTCACTGACTGGGAATCTGACACACCTCTGCTTCCCAGCTCATTTCAACATCCTCTCTAGCAAAAGCTGAGGACAGCATTTTCTTCTAGCTTGAGAAATAAAACCAAGATGGAGAGAGGAGTTAAACACCAAGTTCCTGGATGTCAACAGTGTCCCTTATGCAATGTTAATAAACAATACATACCACAGCACAGCCTGGACATGTATTTCCATTTTCACAGGACCTCTGCCTTGAATGAATCCCTCCACCACAATTCACACTACATTTATTCCAAGGACCCCATGAAGACCAGAAAATCGGTAATGGACATGGACTGTTCTCATTACAGAATCTGAAAGAAGAAAGTGAATCGCTCAGAAAATATCCACGTCGGCACACCCAAGGGACAAAATGGTGATGGACGCAAGAGTGTGCACTGCATTTGGGTGCAATTCATGCATGCACAGAAACCACTGGAAGGCTGACACAACAGTCAGATTAGCAATATTCCTGTTCACAGCAAACAGAACTGAGGCTAGTTAACCAGGCTGAGCTCAGTGAGACAGTTGGAGTAAATGGTCAAGATCGGGTGTATGAAAGTGCTTTGATCTCAAAACATTTATGAACTGGATTCACAGAAGAGTTGAGAAGCTGAAGCCCGTGTGTCACAAAGAGAGACAGTGGATGGTAAATATTTTCGATGGGATGACTAGTGGGAGGTCAGCTGGACAGTGATCTGTCACTAATGGCAGATGCTAAGCATTTGACCACGTCCTCTTCACATGATCTGGCCCTTACTGCTGCTTAGACCCTAAGAAACTGGTGTTTGCAATGGAGCTGAACTAGATGCTAAATCTAAAAGCAGGCCCTAAATTAATGCTATTTCATGTTCCCCTTTCAAAAGGCAACTTTAATTTTCTTCAGCTTTTTAATCAATATTGTTCTCAAATTGAATCACACAGAACTACAATTGACTCAGATGTAGTCTTTAAAACCCAAAAAAGGACCATTGTGAATGGGCACAAATCAAACCAAACATTAAAATGTCCTGAATCAAGGAAGTTAAATGAATTGCCCTATGTATTCTGAGAAATTCAGAGAGATCTGTCTTAAGTGACCACTCAAGGGAGAAGCAACAGCCTACTGCGAAAGAGAGATGGCCTTTAATGAAACGTCAGATCTGGAAACCAATGGGGGCGCCTTGAAGTATGTGTTTTATGAGGGGCTGGTCTTGAAGAAGCATAATCGTGCAGATGGCTCTGTAGGTTCAAAAAGTGTCTTTTTCTGGTGCCATGCCCTGCAAAATCTCAACCCTGACTCTGAGAGTTAAGCTATATTTTTTCTTGAACTTCTTCTGATGCATCAGCACAATTAACAGAGACTTAGGAATGGTGCAATTGGCAAAGAAAGCTGCACATATTCAACTGCCTCCTCAGGGACGGATCAGAACGGTGTAACTATATCTCTAAACTCTACACTGCTGACAGCAGGCACAGTTTCTCCTTCCAGTGAGGAGGTCAGCCCTCTGTTTGAGGGATGGGAATACTCGTAAAGGTCTGAAAGGTCCTGTCTGAGGAGGCAGCTCTAAAGTCTTTGATGTTCACAGGCTCATTAAAAGAGAGTGGCCATAGGTGTGAGCAGCCTCACCCCTCCCAGCTCTGGAATTCCTTCTGCTTTGTGCCTTCAGCCTTAACCTGTATTCATGTAAGAGCCACCACTTCCAGCTGCCAACATTATAACCACAGAAGCAAACACACAGTGTTGCGGACATCTCTTACCTTTCTTCCCTGCTCTGTCCAACGCAGACCCTGCCCCCGTACCGTGGAGCGGGGTTGCTGCAGGATCGCTGGCGGACCTGAAAGCCTATCCCGCAGGAGGTGCTACACGGGGCCCAGGAAGACCAGGGTGTCCAAGCGCCATTTCTAACAAAGGGTGAGAGAGAACGGAGTATGGGGGTGACCCAATGATCTGCCCACGTCACGCCGTGCTTAAAAACAACACATACAAGGCACTGACGGGGGAATTGTTCAGCTCATTGGAGAAGAGATTATCCATTTCAATCAGACTTTGTATCAGCAGAGATTTAGAAAAGGGAGTTTCAAAAGTGCTTAGCATTGGCCTAACTTTCCTCCCACTGAAGGCTCTAAGACTTGGAAAGGAACAGAACGAAGCCAATGCTGAACGATTTTGAAAACACCTCCTAGGATTTGCTGAGGAACAGTGTGGTTGCTATAACTCTCCCCAGCTAATCTCCCATCATCTCCCCCATGCCTCATAACCCCGCTTTTCTGAGCCAATGGCCAATCCCAAAGTTATATCTCCTGGACTCTTCTGCACAGAGAGTGAAAGTTTTGAGGCTGATGAATGCCAGTTGTGCCAAAGGATGTAAAAAATCTACCCTCTGCTAATTCAGTAGGTACTGGTGCTTTAAATCTCTTACAGCAATCCTACTGCCAGCTCCCATGGTTTTATCACAAGCCTCATAATATTTGGTGTTTTCCTAAAGCCTTCAGCACTGAATCCTATTACGTGGAAATCTCAGATTTCATTAAAAACAACAATAATTGCTTCTAGCTTTCATGGCCATCTGTAGACGTCACTGTAGTGTGACATTAAATCTGTAGAAACCAGAGGCAATTAAGAGCTCTGAGTCAGGACTGAGTTTCATGATTTAATCGGTGATCACATCTCTGTCTAGCAGTGGTAACTTAGCCTGAAGCAAATGTGATGTAAAACCCCTTAGTTCACACCTCGGCCACAGAGATATCGGCAAATTCCCTCTTCCTGCGACAGGCTGAGCACGTGCAGTCTGTCGGCTCCTGCACCGTGGCTGCCATGCGGTGACTCAACCACGTGCTTACACAGAAGCCAACGTTTTTATCTTTAAAATCTTGCATTCATTAAAGCTCACCTTCCCCTGTTTTGGCAACACTACTGAACCTTGGAGCAGGAGAGGAGGCACTGTATTTCATCTCTTCTGTGCTGCAGGTTTCATTTCATACGGAGCCAGTGGCAAAGCTGTGTCTTACTGCCTAATCTTGACACTTCACTGCCTTAAGCCAAAAAATCTCATTTGCTTTTTTTGTATAAAGAAAAACCTTTCTAAACAGTCTAGTCAAAAAACAACTCAGGTGCTCTCTGGTTCTTGAAAGCTAAGCTTGAAAACAGATGTTAATTTTCAAAGCATTTACTGAACTAATAACACTGCTGGCAAGAAATATTTTCTGGCTTAGCACCAATCAGGGCAGAGGATGAAAGTTAAAACCCACATTGCCCTTCACACTTTTTGTATTTGTTATCAACTCTTGTCTGTTCTTGGCAGCTTTATTTCAGAAACCTGTTAGATGTTTTTCCCTTCCTCCTCTTGTTCTCTCATCCCTCTCCCTCCTTCCCTTCGCCTCTCCCTCCCCAAACAAGGTCAAAGAACAAGAAACTTGCTTATATAAAATTCCTGCTATTCCATCTTATTCTGCCATGTTTTAATCCACCTACCACCTCCCCACTCCTTAACCCATAAGAAAGTTTATATGTGAGATCACAAAAAGAAAAAAAATCAAACGGAAGCTTGCCGTTATTACAGTAAAAAAGGGAAAGTAAATTCCTCAAAAAAACAATTCTCAGCATCTATTTGTGTTTCAAGATTCTTAACAGAAATACAGACATCATCCATTTTCAGATCTCTAGCTTTCTAACAGAACTCATCTTTAAGCAGCCTGCTCCCTCTCTGCAAAAAGAAATCTCAATGCCATATGAAGTCAATTAAAGTAAATTTGAGGGCTGAGGCGGATGTAGGATGACCAGATGTCCCTATTTTTCAAATCATGCTGTCTTCCTGTGTCTTAAGATTGAATAATCTATTTTTCATTCTCTTCTTAGAGCTGACTCTTTTGCCATCAGAGCAGTGCTGAGAAACCCATCCCATTGGCATGCTTTCCAATTGCCCCTGACATAAAAAGCCTGCCTGGGGAGGGCTCTGCTCAGCCCATGGCGACAGCACAGGGGCAGGAATGACTGCTCACCTTTTGGGCAACACGGTCCACAAATGGAAGGAGAGGTGCCAATTAAAACAGAAATACTGATGAATTTTTGGTGCCAAGACCAGCACTGATCTCCAGGGATGAGTCAAGAGACAGCTGTCCTTAATGGAATGTATGTTTATGGAGAAGATAGAGAAAAACTGTATTGACCCAATATTTACAAAAATATTGGCTTGTTCCACCCCAGTTAAATAGTGGTTACACTACTGCATCATCTTTCCTTGAGTCATGACATGATGTAGTCTGAGAGTGGTGGGGTAACATGGACACAAACACCATGGCTATGTTTGGGCACCCGACAGGAGGACATTTAGCTTCCATACTGCTCAAGCATGAGCTTCAGGCTTCCCTGGAAAGATAGCGCTTTGACACAAGCTGAACTACACGCGTTGTTTAAGTGCTGTTCCCAGCAGGCATGCCTCCCAAGCACTGCCAGATGATGATCTGTTGCTTTCACCTAGCCAGCGTGCTGCAGACAGTTCACAGGCTCGCAGAACAAGGCAAATAAGCCTTGATCGGAGCTAGGCTAGGCCCTGCTTTTGCAAGCACTGCTCTGGAAGAGCTCTTCTTGCTTTTGGCAATGCAACCTCGGAATCCAAAATCCGAAAAATTATGAACTTACTGATTTTTTTTTAGCTTATTGCTGTTCAGTTTCTAACAGCAACCTCTGCCTTATTCACCTGCTCCTGCTGAGTCACTACTCATTGCACAGTTGAGGGAAATTGAGGCACAGCACAGAGAAGGTTAATGTGTACCCTAATCTGGGGTGCTCATCTTCCAAGAGCCCTGGCTGAAGGCCCTTCTCTCAGAGCCCTCGAGCGCCTTCATTTTTCACTGACTTGAAGCTGGACCTCACATACCTCAGTTTGGTTGGGATACAACATCATGCTCACAGAAGCACAAGGAAGGAGCTAAGCTCTGGAAAGACACAACTCTTTTTCCCTTCCTGAAAAGCACAAAGATGCTGAGGTACCTTGAGCAATTTGCAACCTCGATCCGGGCCCCTTCACAGCCGCGACCTCCGCAGCGAGGACGAGGGCTGTCACATGAGCGTGACCTACACATACAGGAGCCTGTGCTGTCCCCATCCGAATGCTCACACAGCTGCCATGGGGACCAAGGCCCCAATCTTCCATTTGTTGTCAGGTTTTTCACCTAGTTTTAAAAGAAAAAAGGTCATTAATAACAAATTTACATTTCTGGAGACAGCCTCACAACAGAAACGCCAAACAAAGCTGCTAGGGGGATTAGGATGCAGCTTAGATGGGAGCTGTCTGTGCTTGCAAGCAGGATTCAAAACAGAGGGTTGTTTTCAGACAATGCCGCATCAATATTTACCCTCCAAATTCCACCCTGCATACCTAACATGTGCGCGCAGGCACCCGAGCCGACACAGCCAGCCCCACGCCAGGCACAAGCATCCGTCTGCCGTGCCACAAAACCACCGCGTTCCCTCGTCCTACACAGCACAGCTTCAGCCTTTCAAGCAACACAGAGGTCGGTGCTGATTGTCCCCACTCCATTATGCTCCTGCCTCTGCAGGGACTGTTCCTGCAGAATATTTTCCGAGTTAGTGTGTGTATAACCATAGTGACCAGCTGAGACCGGGCCCTCGCTGAGTTTGGCCATGTCCAAACACGCAGTAAGAACTGGCTCCCTTTCCAAACAAAGCCATAGCCTAAACAGCTAAACCGGGTGAGGAGTAGAAAGTGAAGGAGAGGGTAGTGACTAGAATTAATGCTGAGGATCACATAGTGGGCTAAAGAGCAAGAATTCACCTCAAGGCAATTTATAGACCAGAGCATGCTGCTATCTGTTTCCTCTGCCCTTTGCTTCATGCCTGCACAGCCCCAAAGAGGCTGGGGCCTGAGCTCCTGTGCACTATCATGAAGTAAAAATACGGTACTTCTGCCAGACCAAAAGCAAGAGAAACAGAACTATTTCAGCCCAGGACTGGTGAGGGCCTTCCAGGAGACAGGATGTCAGAGCTTGCTTCCCTGTGCCTTGTTCTAACCGGAGCTGCCCTGTGAGCCCTAAGCCGCAGGTGGGCAAGCGAGGTGCTGAGGCCCTCGCCATCATGGCTGACCTGAGAAGGTAAGCACTGCCTGCTCCTCCCGGCATCACTCCCAGGCTACCACCGCCTTCTTGTGCCTGCTCCACCGCTACTGCAAAATCCAGCAGCTCCAAGACCATGTCTGGAAAGCTACCCTGAACACCTCTGCCCTGCCTTCCCCTTTGCTATTGACTTAAGAAACACAAGGCAGAAAGACACCCACGGTGGCCCTGCCTAGGTACAGCTATTTCCATGCTGCTGTGACTCATTCTCCCTCAGTGGCTTCCTCCATCCTCCCACCCCATGTCCCAGAGCGCAGGGCTGGCAGGTGCCTGCAAATGGCTCATGCCCGCTGGTGTCACCCACGGGGTGGTGAGAAGCTTGGCAGCTTTGGTAAAACTGCTGGCAAAGGCAACATCGGACTTGGCCTTGGTGTCGCATGAAGGGTGAAGAAAGGAAGAGGCTGGGACCCTGGCAAACAGCTCTGGCCCCAAATCTGAGCCAACTACGCAGTGACAAACCCCACTGTGCCATGCTGCACTGAGCTCCGCAGTCAGCAGGATCAGTCCCCTGTACTGCTCCGGGATGGGGTAAATCATTTCTCCTGCTTTACAGACAAGGAAAACGGAGGCATGGAGAGGCTGTGAGCCTGCTCAGGAGCCACAGAGGGAGCCAACCACAGCCACAGCATCAGGGCTTTCAAACACTCATCCTCCGAAACATGCTGCTCTGTGCTCATTCTCCAAGTCTGGCACTACGTTAAACACTCACAATGCACCTTTGGTGGGCTGTCATCTTCCCCTCTCGCCCATCCACAGCAGCATCAAAAATATGCAGCAGTGGCATGGAAGTAATTTAGATCTGCTACTGCACTCATCAGGCTGCAGTTGAGGGGTTTCAAGCATCTGTTGTAAACATTTGTTTGCAAAAGATTATCATGCCGTCGTAAAAATCTGCTCTGGGCTGCAGGTTACAAGGCAAGACGCCCAGAGAAGAGATCACTGAGTTTTGTTGTTGTTGAATTTGTTGTTTTAAACATGCATGCAATCAAAATTCAATACAGGCGGGTTGCTAAAAGTCAGGAGGAAAAAAGTCAAAATAACTACTTTGAGATATTTAATATTAGATTTTTATCTTCTTTTTCCCCTTGACTTACAAAAGTCATAATCCAAGTATTGGACCATTTCTATTAATTTTTGAGCCAGAAAGTCTTGCTGATTCCAGCAGGGAGTTCTGTTTAGAAATCAATGGTATGATATGGCCCGCGGCTTCAATTGGGGAAAAAAAAAAAAAAAGCTGACAAATAATTATTGGCTCATAAGTGATACTGGGAAGTAACCCAAAAATTAAACAAATAAGCAGCCATAACCAAAATGCTAAGATTTATACCCATGTCACATTGTGAGTGTGGAAAGTTTTCATACTTTAGAAATTACATACGGATTACTACTCAGTCTTTAAACTCATAAAAATACCTTCAAAAGAGCAAACTTGGGAAGTGGGATAAAAACCCATATGCATTGATCTTTTTCAAGAATATCTTTACAAGGGAAATCCTTTGTAGTCAACACAGTGCCCATCAAACACAGGGGACATCTTTAAAAACAGATGTGATCAAATGCCCTTCTCTCACCTGACAATAGTCCCAACTGCAGAGTTCCTGTATTTTATAAACTGCCATACTCCCACCAAAGGCATCACCTCTTCATTTCTTCCTTGTACCATCCAAAGGCTCAAGTGCAGGATCTAAAAACTTAGACTGACCACTCCTATAATCATGCTACCAGGACATATATATATATATTCTGATATTACAGATAAAACTAGAAGCATTCCTTGTTCTTTCAATTAATCTATGCTTTCTCTTAGGACTCAGATGTCAACTGCTTTTATAAGCCAAGCTTTAATTATTTCAGCTGGAAGTTTTCATGTTGGCTTGTTGAAAGAAGCTGAAAATTCTTGCAAAATTTCAGTCAAACTATTTTAACCATTTCCAAAATCAAATCTAGGGAAAAAGAAAGTCCATAAGTAACAACTTTTTCCTTGAAACAAACTAGTGTTCAGAGCAGGGAACTAAACTTTATATCCTTGTAACACCTGTTCATAATTTCTGTGAAAAGACATTAAAATCTGTCTAGGGTATAAAATCCTTGGGGGATGGGAAGGAAAATTCTCAGTTTTCAGAGACTTACAGATTTTGATCCTGGCACCTGAAGCCTTCTCTATGCACTGGGCATGCTTCAGTGGTGGGCCAGAGCAGGATTATCCTGGGCACTGGAACTCCAAGTGGCTGAGCCCGCACAGATTGAGAGCAGCGTGCAAGTCTGCTACACACCTCAGGAAAGGAGTGGGGAGACTGGCACTGATTAGCAAGAAGAAGGGGTAGCATGGAGCAGATGCCAGATGACTGAGATAGGGGTTTGCTGGACACAGAGTGAGACTGGGATGAAAACCCACAAGAAAAGCATCATTTGATTTGGAATAAGGAGGACTGCACACTTCACAGGGAATACTGAATTTCTGACTTGTCAACCACTATCAACAGTGTTCCCATGACTTTGGCTAATGGAGTTTGTTAGCCAAATCTAAAGTTCCTTTCCTGACAGTGGCTCTTGTTTGCATCAGTAAGATACTATGAAGTAGGATGCGGCTTTTTTTCAATATTCCTAAAACCAAAAAGCCTCTCACCTCCTTTCCCTAAGCCTAAGAAGAAGCCATGCAATCATGTATTCAGGACTCCCAGATAGGACACATGCATATATAAGGACAACAACAGCAGCATGTGCAATTTGTGGCCTCTCATTTCTTAATGTTAAAATGTTTGACATTGCACCCATAGCAATAAACCTTTAGGAGGTTCTGGGTTTTACCTGGTAATGACATATACAAACCATTGCCCAAGGTGCTATGTTAATACCATATCTTACCTTTATCTTAGGTCCCCTAATATTAAAGTTGGAGAGTGGGAATCCGTGGTACACTGTAGTGCTGTACAAAGATGTTCAGACTAGCTCTGAATAAGCATGTTCGCACAAGAGCAGCAGTCAAGTTGTGTTAGTGTTGTGGTTGACTCACACAAACGCCTGGCCCCTGTAGGATATAATTCAATAATATGCCAGTTCTGGCTTTGAAAGTTGCTGCATGCCAGTCTCTCAGCTGTGCCAGGACATCTGTTTGTGGGCTAGGCTGCAGAACTCACTGGCACTATGTGGGTTAGGAAAAGTTTATTTGAGAGGGGTGCTTTTAATCTACGCCATGTCACACTTGAGTGTGATCTCACATACAGCTGTAACAGCACAGCTGAGCGCCTGGTGCTTGGCCCAGGAAAGCGGGGTGAGAAAAGCCAGGACTTCTTAAGACAGTAACGCATCCAACTAAACTCCTAGACAGGCCTTTTCCAGGAGTGAAATTTGGCACTGGGTCCATGCATTCCTCTACCTTTCCAGTGCTCATTTGCATGTGATGTCCTAGACTCTTGCCTCTGTTGACCAGGACCTTTAACCTGGACAGAACACAACGAAATACTTGGATATTGCCGATGTACGTGCTTAAAAGAGCCATCCCATTCCATGCCTGTGGTGAACTCATTCCAGTGAGGGGCAGAGGAGAAAGGAAAAGAAAGCACGTGCATGTGGATTTTAAACAGCTTGGCAGCCTGTCAGTCCAAGAGTACGTGGCTGATGTATGCACCAGAATGGACATGCACCTACACAGAAAATAATCAACAATAGAAACGCTAAAACAAATGTAAAGCTAGCACCCCAAGAACAGCCAAAGCTCCTGAATATTCTGTGCTGAATTTTTATGACCTTGAAACAATGATCTGGAGTAGCCCGTTCCCTAGTGTGCACCACAGCAGACATGTTCAAACTAGAGGATTAACACCTCACACACCTATCAACAGACACAGGCATTAAGCAGGACAAGATAACAGCATGGGCAATCGAGAAACACTGCATCCCAGTTCAGCACAGGAGGGTTATAAACACACAAGCTTCTGAATCCAGCAGTGAAAAACTTAAGCCTGCCAAGCTAAGGATGGATTGAAGTAATGACTAATATTTCCCAGGAAAATACCTGAGAAGTAAGGAAGATAAGGAGAATAAACATCCCGGCACCCCAGACAGAAATAGCGTGTCAAAGATATAACCCACCAAGCCCTCTTTCTCTCTCTGACAGACTTAACAGTACTAACATGCTAATTGATGTTAGAAAATAACAATGGACATTAATGAGTATTTCTCCTCCCACAATTTATTTAGCAAGACTGGTTTGAGGTTTTTTTTTTATCCCAGCTGCCTTGCAGGTATGGTTCAAGCAGCAAGAATTAAACTTGGCCAGACAGCTTCTGGGGAGCACAGCCAGGAACTGGGTATTGTTGTCAGAGGGTGGATGGGTAGGCGGGTGGGAAGAAAGCTGAAGAGCCAACTCAAACTGATTCAGAGACACTTCTTTTTTTTCTTTTTTTTTTTTTTAAGTGCTGCATCTGATGGAAACCAGGGCAAGGACAGAAGACCAGCTTCTTGCAATATCACATGGATTTGGTCTTTGGTCTGCTACAGTATGCTTAGAACTCAACACTATCTTTCTCATAGTCCCTCTCTTGGTTACACTTGTTCCTTCCCTTGTGTTCTCTGGCACATACTGTATGCTGGGGGTTTTTTTCCCTCTGCACACCATCCATGCATGCCCTATTTCTTTGCTGCTCCCTGGATGCTTCTTCTTCACCAGTGTTGCCTCCTGGGCCCAGCTCAGGGATCCAGAAGGAAAAGTAACTGAATGCTGCCCAAGGATGTTGTAGTCAGGTGTTCTGATTTCCCTGGTCTGCAGGGAAGCCAAGGAAATGGTGCAGACAGTGGAGCAGCCCTGCGAAAGCTCAAGTTTAACCTGGAGCTTACATGGCCCTCAGCAGTAATCCAACAGCACAATCCAGTCTTCTTCACTCAAGCATGCATGGGCATGACGAGGACGGATTGATTGTTTTGGGATCCCTCTTTTGGAGCAAACAAACGCATTCAGGGTCTCTGTATTCTAAACAAGAGGCTGTGCACAGATATTAGCGTGTGCCTCTGTCGCCAGGCTTTCCTAACAGTCAGTCCTCAATCAGGTCACCAAACATTCACTTCCCCTTTCCCTTCTACACATTCACACACACATTAACACACCAGTATATGTAAAATATTTCCACTTCTTCCACTTACTGGGCATTCAGTAATATTTTGAGTCCACAGGCTCATGTTGGAGCTGTCCTCAATAGTGGTGCATCGCTTCTGCTTGCTATCCCAGCCGCAGTAGGGGTCTCTGGCTCCCAGGCATTCCCTGCATGTGTAAAGAGAAAAGATTAAAGCTCTGAAGATCTATGTTCGAGTATAGTGCTTGTATGTGACAGCTGTCAACTGCATCAAGGCTCAGCAGAAGAAACAATTTCTTCACAGAGGAGTTTTACCTGCTTGGAAGGGAAGAATGGCTGAATATAGGGGTGATAGGACACAAAGCAAATATCACTCATAGAAGCTGTAGATTAAAAATCAGTTCACTCCTCTCCAAGGCCTAGGGAAAG